GACACAGCGAGACTCCGTCTCAAAACAAAAACAAAAACAAAAACAAAAAACAGAGTAGCTGGGATTACAGGCGCAAGCCACTGGCTGTGTGTTAAAAATCTAGTTAAGGCTGGGCATGGTGGCTCACAACTGTAGTCCCAGCCCTTTTGGAGGCTGAGGTGGGCAGATTGCTGAAGTTCAGGAGTTTAAGACCAGCCTGGGCAATGTGGCAAAACCCTGTTTCTACAACAGTTACAAAAATTAGTCTTACATGGTGGTGTGCACCTGTGGTCCCAGCTACTGGGGAGGATGAGGTAGGAGGATTGCTTGAGCCCAGGAGGTTTAGGCTGCAGTGAGCTGTGATTGTGATTGCACCACTGCACTCTAGTCTGGGCGACAGAACTAGATTCTGTCTCAAAAAAAAAAAAGTTATATATTGCCAAATTGTGCTCCAAAAAGGTTGTATGTGTTTATCCTTATGCTAACCATATACGAGACTTTCCTAAATCAACCCTCTTGTCTTTCTCCGTTATCTCAGCTGGAGAAGCGACTGGAAGAGTGGTTGGGGAGGACATTGCCTGGCAGTGACTGGACTCCCAATGCCCGGTTTATCACCCGCTCTTGGCTTCGGGATGGCCTTAAGCCACGCTGCATAACCCGAGACCTCAAATGGGGAACCCCTGTACCCTTAGGAGGTTTTGAAGACAAGGTAAAAACCCTTTTTTATTCATATCATTCAGCCTTGGTGTTCAGACCCTGGGCTAGCAGAATAGACTGCTGATTATGTCTTGCTTCAGTTTGAGACTTTGGATTGGTCCCTAACATGTTTACCTCCTCCTGACCTCCAGGTATTCTATGTCTGGTTTGATGCCACTATTGGCTATTTGTCCATCACAGCCAACTACACAGACCAGTGGGAGAGATGGTGGAAGAACCCAGAGCAAGTGAGCAGTTCTTGGTTAGGCTGTGCATGGGGAGGGTAGGCGGTAGGCTGTGGGTCTTAGGGTTGGGTGTCTGGTCTCCTGGCCTTTGAAGAAGGTCTCAGGAAATCTCTCCTAACTACATTCCCTTAGGTGGACCTATATCAGTTCATGGCCAAAGACAATGTTCCTTTCCATGGCATAGTCTTTCCTTGCTCAGCCCTAGGAGCTGAGGATAACTATACCTTGGTCAGCCACCTCATTGCTACAGGTAAGTACCCTGGAAGACTACTGATGGGGTGTTCATAGGAAATGAGGGTTGAGGCAGTACTTGGAAAAAGATCTTAGAGAGCTGCTGTCTTGAGTTAGGAGTTGAGATGAAATAGGAAATAATTAAAATGAGAACTCAACCTAGAGAAATGAAACAAGAACCTGAAGAAAGCAAAAGTCCAAAGCTAAAACTCTGTAGTAGATACAAGCAAAGACAAAAAAGGGCCAGAATGGATAGGAAGGGACTCCCAAAATCTGAGCATACCAGCCCCTTAAGGAGAAATGTTGCTAGACAACCATAGTTGAGGTTAGAAAGAGGAAAGAAGGAAGAGTTAGTGGGCTAGAGAGGGGAAGGATGTGATTTGAGCAGATAGTTCTCATTCTCCTCTGTCCAGAGTACCTGAACTATGAGGATGGGAAATTCTCTAAGAGCCGGGGTGTGGGAGTGTTTGGGGACATGGCCCAGGACACGGGGATCCCTGCCGACATCTGGCGCTTCTATCTGCTGTACATTCGGCCTGAGGGCCAGGACAGTGCTTTCTCCTGGACGGACCTGCTGCTGAAGAATAATTCTGAGCTGCTTAACAACCTGGGCAACTTCATCAACAGGTGGGAATTGGTAAGGGGTCAGAGTTAGCAGTGAGCTGGGGTGGGGCTCATTTTCCCTCAGGAGATGGGAATGTGGAGAGAACTAGAAAATGGGCAGGAGGCTGTGAGGACAGTGTGGAAAGTTGATTTCTATTAATTGGGATCTGTTCCTAGCACATATGAGGCTATGTATGCTTGATGGAACAGTTAACTATAGAGATGTGATTTAGCAAAGTTGGTTATAAAGTGGGTTTTTGTAAATTGTGTTCTTATTACTGTTCTTTGTAGAACTGAAGATGTATTCTCTCCTAGCAAAATAGTTCACCTGCAGATCATTGAAAACTTTGGCCGAAGAAAGGGGTTATTTTGGTGTGGGGGTAGAAGGCTTCTGTGGGCTGGGCATGGTGCCTTACGTCTGTAATCCCAGCACTTTGGGAGGCCAAGGCAGGAGGATCACTTGAGGCCAGGACTTGCCTGACTGACATAATGAGTCTCCCATTTCTACGAAAATAATCAGCCAGGCGTGGTGGCGCACACCTGTAGTCCCAGCCACTCAGGATGCTGAGATGGGATGGTCTCTTGAGCTCGAGAGATTGAGGCTGCAGTGGAGCAGTGCTTGTACCCCTGCACTCCAGCCGTGGCAAAAGAGGGAGATCCTGTCTCAAAAAAAAAAAAAAAAGACTTCTGCTATACTCAGAATTTTTGTTACCTTAGGCTCACATTCTATCATTGGTGCCTATCTCAGCTCTTCTGCAATCTAAAGCAGTATCCTCCGTAGCTTAGGATTCTTTCGTCACGCTCTCTGAACCCTGGACCCTTATAGGTCAGTCCTGCTACTCACTTTCAGGTTTGGTCATTAACCACATTTAATAAATAGTCCTTACCTACAGGAGTTCGAGACCAGCCTGGCCAACCTGATGAAACCCTGTCTCCACTAAAAATACAAAAATTAGCCGAGCATGGTGGCGCACATCTGTAATCCCACCTACTTGGGAGGCTGAGGCAGGAGAATCACCTGAACCCGGAAGGCAGATTGCAGTGTGCCAAGATCATGCCACTGTGCTCCAGCCTGGGCAACAGAGCGAGACTCCTCAAAAAAAAAAAAAAAAGTCCTTACCTAGAGTATTTGTTTGATAGCAATTAACACATATTTCAGCTTGGTCATTTTGAGTAATGACTTCTTAAAAATAAGAAATAGAGGCCGGGCGCGGTGGCTCAAGCCTGTAATCCCAGCACTTAGGGAGGCCGAGACAGGCGGATCACGAGGTCAGGAGATCGAGACCGTCCTGGCTAACACGGTGAAACCCCATCTCTACTAAAAAATACAAAAAACTAGCCGGGCGAGGTGGCAGGCGCCTGTAGTTCCAGCTACTCGGGAGGCTGAGGCAGGAGAATGGCGTAAACCCGGGAGGCAGAGCTTGCAGTGAGCTGAGATCCGGCCACTGCACTCCAGCCTAGGCGACAGAGCGAGACTCCGTCTCAAAAAAAAAAAAAAAAAAAAAAAAAAAAAAATAGAGTTGTTTAACTTAATCAGGTTTTTTTATGTGCAGAGTCAGATTCTTAGGGGAGAGACAGAGTAAATAATTCATTTGTTAAGCCTTGTCTACTGGCTTAAGGGAGCCAGGAGTTACCTGTTCTAGGCAGGAATCCTGAGAGAATGTACAGTTGTGGAAATGGGGTCAAATTCTAAGGAGGAGAGTGGATAATAACTTCCCCTCTTTTTTCCACTTCTCCTTTCCTACTCCCAACCAAGAGCTGGGATGTTTGTGTCTAAGTTCTTTGGGGGCTATGTGCCTGAGATGGTGCTCACCCCTGATGATCAGCGCCTGCTGGCCCATGTCACCCTGGAGCTCCAGCACTATCACCAGCTGCTTGAGAAGGTTCGGTAAGTAACTGACATCTCTGACTCATCTGCTGGTGTGTTGAGAGCCTTGTATGGGTCCCTGTAGGACATTACACCTTGGCCTGCTTCCTCCCTTCCCAGGATCCGGGATGCCTTGCGCAGTATCCTCACCATATCTCGACATGGCAACCAATACATTCAGGTGAATGAGCCGTGGAAGCGGATTAAAGGCTGTGAGGCTGACAGGTAGGTAAGCGGGGAGGGTTGGCTAAAGGAATAAAGTGGCTTGTAAGCTGTATCCTCCTGGAGGTCTTGACTAATATCTCTTCTTCCTCAGGCAACGGGCAGGCACAGTGACTGGCTTGGCAGTGAATATAGCTGCCTTGCTCTCTGTCATGCTTCAGCCTTACATGCCCACGGTTAGTGCCACAATCCAGGCCCAGCTGCAGCTCCCACCTCCAGCCTGCAGTATCCTGCTGACAAACTTCCTGTGTACCTTACCAGCAGGACACCAGATTGGCACAGTAGGTGGAAGAGCCAGCCTGTCTTAAAATTGACACTTTTGCTATGCAGCTTTTGGAGTGGGTGAGAGAAGACCTAACATCTCTCCAGTGTTACTTTGGTCATGGGACTCAAGTTTCTGATATAAAGTCCTTGGTAGTCATTCACAAGTTCAGAATTATCTGTACATCCTCATTGTTCTTCATGCCAGAAACCAGAACCTGGCACACAAAACTAACTGGTAAACAGATATTTGAAGAAACACTGGTCACCTAGTCTCCACAATGCTAGCAGATAGTGGGCAGTGAAAAAGAGGAAATAGCCATTTCCTCTTTGACACAAAATGAAAAAGTAAGTACGTCGCTAAACTTCTGGATCAGCCTAGCATCCTTAGAGCGCTTAAAGAATCTGTCCCTATAAATTATTTGGGGTTTCATAGGGAAAGCTGCCGCTGATTTCCTAAAATCAGCAGATACTAGCTTAGTGTTATGCTCGTTCTTTCTAAAATATATCAGAGATTGGGGTTGGAGAGGTCATCTGTATAGTCCGGTAGAGGCTGTATCTAATCAGCAGATGTTTCTGTAACTTTTTTTTTTACAGGTCAGTCCCTTGTTCCAAAAATTGGAAAATGACCAGATTGAAAGTTTAAGGCAGCGCTTTGGAGGGGGCCAGGTGAGAAAAGCTAAAGGCTGTGCCCTCGCTCCACAACAGCCACAGCATCACTTCCTTAATTTCCCTAAGTAGTACTCACCCATCACTCTTTCCATCTTTTGGCCCTGCTGCTTCCTCACTTAGTTTTTCTTTCCTGTCTTAGCTAGAAGAGACCTTCGACTTAAAGGTAATCACTTTCCCTCTGAGATGCTGTATAAAACTGGAGGTTAGGGGATATTTATGGTTGCTGGTGCTAACTTTGTTGTTGTCCTCCAGGCAAAAACATCCCCAAAGCCAACAGTTATAGAGACTGTTACAACAGCCGGGCCACAGCAGATACAAGCGCTGATGGATGAAGTGACAAAACAAGTATGAAGCTTAAGCCCTGTGGGAGACTGGACAAGCTGAATCCTAAATAGATCTTTTTCTTGCCTCACTGTTACCCTTCCCACCCCCCTTTATCTTAGGGCAACATTGTCCGAGAACTGAAAGCACAAAAGGCAGACAAGAACCAGGTTGCTGCGGAGGTGGCGAAACTCTTGGATCTAAAGAAACAGTTGGCTGTAGCTGAGGGGAAACCCCCTGAAGCCCCTAAAGGCAAGAAGAAAAAGTAAAAGACCTTGGCTCATAGAAAGTCACTTTAATAGATATGGACAGTAATAAATAAATGTACAATCTCTATATACAAGCTGAGACCCTTTCCTTTTGTCTACTCCAAGCCTTCCCCCTGAATATGTGGGATTGAGGGTCACATCATTGGCACTGGTGAGAGGGTGGTCAGTAGCCACTTGTGGGAAAGGTGGGTAGTGTGGCCCAAGTGGAGTACTGATGCTCCCAATTGTTCATGCTTGGTGTAGATTCACCATTCGGTCGATCAGAGCTCGACGAGTCGCCTCTACTTCCCTGGTCAGGCGCTCGATTTCCTGCTTGAGCCGTTCATTCTCTTCAGCTAGCTGTGCCACTTTCCTTTCATTCTCCTGTTCTTTCTCCTTCATGCGCTGCTTTCCAGCCCGGGCTGGGGAATGGCCACTCTGTTTCCGTTTCCTGGTTCTCCCTTGGTCTTCCTCCTCTTCCTCCTGAGCCAGGGAGCTCTGACTGGAATCTGGAGAGCGAGGGCTCTGGGAGGTGCTTGTGACCTCTGCTGGTTCTGGCTCCTCCTCAGTCAGCCAAGCCAGCGAAGCAGGGTCAAGAGTGGTAAAGGTTTTTGATTCTTCCTTCAAGGAAATGAGGAAAGGGAACGTAGATATTAATTGAGAAGGAAAAGGTAACATCCCCCTTTAGCTTCAGGCCTAGCATTCTTACCTCTTCATTTCCAGGAGGTGAGACATAGGTACCCCCATTTTCGTCTGAAGACAGGACCTCTTGCAGGTCCTCATACCAGGCTTCCAGCTCCCAGCTGGACAGTGTCCCGAAGGAGAAAGGCAATGACTCAGCTGCCATCTCTGCAGTTGGATCAGTCTGGAAAAGCACATTTGCAGGGTAATTGGGGAGTGGCTGGAACAAGCTCCATGTAGCAAACAGTCTATGCCACAGGTTGGCAAGCTGGTCTGATGCCTGTTTTTATAGGTAAAGTTGTATTGGAATACAGCCACATCTGTTTATTTACATATTGTTTATGGCTGCTTTGGTGCTACAGTGGCAGAGATGAAGAGTCACGCTAGAGACCATAGGGCTCTTAACATCTAAAATATTTATTATCCTGCCCTTTAAAATTTATCAACCCCTAGTTTATATTAATACTCCCTCCTTGCTTTTGCCCAGGACTTGAAGAAGCAAAGTGCCTGGATATCCATGCTTAGGGGATCTGGAGGACTAGTCAAATTCCTGTCCCCATCAAGGTTAGGCTGAGCTGAAGGACTATTTCCCTGAGCTCCCCACACAGGAGAAGGGAGCACAAATGACCTGGTAATTGCTCCTGGAAACTATCAACAGAGTTCGCAAGTGGGACTGAAGACTAGTGAAAGTTTAACCCTGACTGAAGACTGGTAAGGCAAACCAGTTGTCTTTGTTGGGGCTTTCTTTGAGGACCATATTTCCATTAGGACATTCTTTAAGAAAAGTGGTTTGCTCACCTTGTAGGAGCAAGCCAGGAGAATAGACAGCCTGATAGCAAAAGCTTGCTCAGATTCAAACCCTCCTTTCCCACCTTCTGTAGGTCTTTTCATAATCTCTTAGGGTCTCAGCAAAAGGAGGCTAAGCAGCATCTCTTAAGACTTGGTTTTGGGAAAGGGTAGGTTAAGTTTACCTGCTTTCAGGTGTGGTGATGTATGAAGATACACTTCCTTCTTGAACACTGTAGGCAACAAAGAGAAATGTTAGCCATTTTTGGAAGGGGGAGAGGCAACTTATTTTTTTCTTTTCTTTTGAGACGGAGTCTCCCTCTGTTGCCAGGCTGGAGTGCAGTGGCGCAATCTCGGCTCACTGCAACCTCTGCCTCCAGGGTCAAGCGATTCTTCTGCCTCAACCTCCCAAGTAGCTGGGACTACAGGTGCGTACCACCGTGCCCAGCTAATTTTTGTGTTTTTAGTAGAGATAGGGTTTCACTGTGTTGGCCAGGATGGTCTCCATCTCTTGACCTTGTGATCCACTCGCCTCCCAAAGTGCTGGGATTATAGGCCTGAGCCACCACGCTGGGCCCTTATTTTTCTTTTATCTCCAGCCTCCTACTGGTCCGTCCTTACTTCTGGTCTTGTGGGGTATGCATACTTGGTCCCTGTAGCCATTTCCAAGGGCAGAAGAGGGCCTGACTTTATTTTTAGTTGCTGACATTTGTAGTCCTGGTTACATAATAGCAAAGTTCTGGCCAACTCAGCTTTCTCTAAATTCAAGGCAGGCCTTAAACCTGCCAGGGTAAAGACTAAACTATAGGGAAGGGAACAAATCGTAGCATTTTCCTAACTCCATTCCCACACTGACATCCTCCAAATGTATATTTCCAGTCTGGACCTCTTCTAGAACTTCCGACTCTGCTGTCTACTGCCTACTTGCCATTTCTTTTTCAATGTCTAATAGGCACCTAAGACTATGTGCAAACTTGTTGATTTTCCCCTTCCAAGGTCATCCCCATCTCAGATGACAACTCTAGTTGCTTAAGCTAAAAACCTTGGTATCATCCTTCATTCCTCTTCTCTCACACCCTGCAATCCAAAGTACTAGCAAATTTTAACTTTTTTTTTTTTTTTTTTTTGAGACAGGTCTCCCTCTTTTTGCCCAGGCTAGAGGGCAGTGGCGCAATCTCCGCTCTGCAACCTTTGCCTCCTGGGTTCAAGCGATTCTCCTGCCTCAGCCTCCTAAGTAGCTGGGATTACAGGCATGCACTACCATGCCTGGCTGATTGTTGTATTTTTAGTAAAGATGGGGTTTCACCATGTTGGCCAGGCTGGTCTTGAACTCCTGACTTCGTGTGATCCACTCCTCTGGTCTCCTAAAGTGCTGGGATTACAGGCATGAGCCACCATGCCCGGCCCTTAACTCATTCTTTAAAAATGAGTTTTTAAAACTTTGCTTAGAAAAATCTAAACACCTCTAATTCCATTCTTTCCAATCTAGATCAATTCACCACCATCTCTCAATTACTGCAGAAACTTCCTGATTGCAGGTCTTCCCATTTCTTCTCTTGCCACCCCTCCGTAAGTCTATTCACCATACAGCAGCCTGAGTGAACCTTTTAAAACAGGTCATTCCTCTGCTCAAAACTCTCCAATGACTTTCTATGTCATGTCAGGGAAGTCATTGGAGGGTTTTGAGAGGAGGAATTACCTCAGGTAATTCCTGACCACCTGATGTAACACAGTAACCTCCATCCTGAACATTCTCCATTCCTTTCTCTGCTGTAGCTTTCTCCATGGCACTTATATTTTGTTTACTGTAGGCCTCCCACTGAGATGATTTTTTCCTCTTGCTCACGGATGTTCCCTGAGCCGCAAACTGTTTGGCACACAGTAGGTCCTCATTAAGTATTTGTTAAGAATGAATGAATTCCCCCCAATCTCTCTTATAGGGAAGGGGCCGACGCAGAGTGGCAGCTGCCAATCCCTAGGGACTGGAGATGCAATATTGCCCGAAATATTTCTCTGCAGGGCTGTCCTCCCTGGGGAACCCTCCCTTGCCTTCCAGTGTGTGGGACTTGGCTTTCATCAGCAGTGGAGCCTCAGGTCAGAAGGCTGCAGAGCCAAACAGGGGGCTGGCCTGATGCAATGGTTACACAGAGATTAGCTGGGAGACAAGACCGGGTTAAAGAGGCAGGGACTAATCCCGAGGGAAGGACGATACCCTGGGGAGACCCTAAATGGCCTCCTACACTTAAGAGATCCAGGCTGCTCTCGTGCGGGAGGCCCAGAGACCTCTACGGCAAAGGGAAAACATACTGCTCCCTGTCCATCGACACCCCTCCCAAAGGCTTGTGTCAAGGTTCCCCTTTCAGCCCTGCAGGGTCCAGTAGCTCCAGCTACCGAGGTGGCCATGCTGACACCAGAGACGCCGAGACTGAGACAGGATTGGGGGTAGGGTAGGGAGAAGGCCGATGGTGGCGAACGGGCGGAAACGGCTTGAGCGATGGTAACTCAGTCTTAGAGCGGGGGTGTGTCCTGCTGCCTCCCCCCGGACAGGCCTAACGAGGTGGCCTGAAGTTGGCTACGGGAGAGAATGAATTTCCCTAGGGCAGCCGAGGTCCCTTTGCCCAGCAGCACAGAGCAGGGCCCATGCTCCGGCTCCGGGCAGGGGTGGAGAGACGCTGTCGTCCGAAGCAATGGGGGTTTGTAAGCACCACCCCAGAATAAGGGACTCTCCCCATTCCTCTCTCGGACGGTCCCTGACTTCACTGTGGAGGCGTGAGGCCAATCCTAAAGAGCGGATGCCCCAACTCTGAGGAGACGGGAGGGTAAAGGGCAGATGGGAGTCAGTACTCGCCTCTCTCCTCAGGTTCCAGCTCTGATTTTGGCTCTGTCGCTGCCACCCGCTCATCTTCAACATGATACGCTCAGTGCCTTAGACTTAAGCCTCTGACCTCGGGAGCGCCTGGCTGTAATCTTTTACCATGGCCTTGCCCTCCTCTCAGGGGCGGGACCCCAAAACCTACCAATCAGAAAGTGGCACGCCGGCATTGGCCCCGCCTCGTCCCTCGTATCCGCCACTCAGGAGCTCCGCAGAACCGCCCCCGTCGCTCCCTCTCGCTAGGGGGTCGACGTAGTGTCGGACCCGGAAGTGGCTTTGGGTCACGAGGCTTCACGGAGGCGGTGGGTGAGTCATGCGCGCGCGCGGAGGGGAGTGTAGCGGGGGGAGGGGAGGAAAGGGGGGCGGGGATGATGCAATGTTTGGCAACCGGTGTCTGCACGCGCACGCGCAGGGGACTACGAGGGTGGTGGGAGGTGCAGAGGGTGGGGGAAAGGAGAGAGGGCGGGGCGCCAGCTCCCGGCGCCCAACGGCCCCAACGGCTATCAGCGTTGGCCGTCCGTAGTCGGTCGTGTGGAGCCTCTTTGCCGCTTGTCTCCCCCAGAAGCTGCTGTTCCGCCCACCTAGCTTTAGCCGGCGTTTTACCTCCACTATAAGGGACTCCCATTTTCCTTGGCCCCTCCCAGCTAATGGTCATATAGGCCTTTTGAACTTTTCCTTTGAAAGTTGGTATCCATCCACTGGGATTGTCGACATCTCGAGTCTTCTTAGAGAGGTCTCCGGGCTCGGTGACTCATGCCTATAATCCCAGCACTTTGGGAGGCTGAGGAGAGCGGATCACTTGAGGTCAGGAGTTCCAGATCAGCCTGACCAACATGGTGAAACCCCGTCTCTACTAAAAATACAAAAATTAGCCGGGTGTGGTGATGCGCGCCTGTAATCCCAGCTACTCTGGAGGCTGAGGCAGGAGACTCGCTTGAACCCTGGTGGCGTACGTTGCAGTGACCGAGATCGCGCCACTGCACTCCAGCCTGGGTGACAGAGCGAGACTACGTTTCACCGAAAAGGAAAAACAAATTTAAAAACCGGGGTGGTCTAGCCCCGTAAATCTCCCAAAAGGGGCCGAGGTACTGGAATCCCTTGGTAGTCATTTTCCGCTTCTCTCACAACAGCGCCCTTGACTTTTACCTTGGAGTTGCTAAGCCCTCAGCCTGCCAGAAGTCATGTATTTTACCCAGTGGACCCAATTCTGTTTGGCCACCTATTTTCCCCCGCTGTACTCTTACGGCTTTCTCCAATACCAAGACCCTCTCTTGCTGTACCAGACAGCAAGTCCTGTGACTCCCTGCTGTGAGGAGCGCGGCACAGGCCTGCCTCCTAGGTGTTCGGGTCGAGATTTACAGCGGAGTCTCATCCTGGGACGTGTAAGTGCACTTCAGCGCAGGACAGCCCTGGACTGGGGAGACCGGGGGCCGCGATTTTAGCCTCAACTCCCCCTCACTTACCAAGGGATCTTACCGTCCTTGTTTGTAAATTAACGAGTTGTAAGGGTAAAATGAGAACCATGAACTTGGAGGCAACTTGAACAAAAGTAAAACGCACCACGCCGAATGCAAAGTATTTTTCTTGTGCCTTGAAAACAGAGGCCATGTGGTGGCCTGTTACATATCCTGTCATACCCTCATGGGGGCAGCCAGAGTTTAAGTAGAAACTGTCACAAGGCCGGTTGTGACTGGAGTGGTGTGTCTGTGACAGGTCTTTGGTTAGGCTGCTCCGTTGCTCCACACCTCCATTTCCCCTCTGAAAATGGGGGTGGTGTGGGGGGTGGACCAGATGGTCTCTCCTGGCCTAAAGACAGACCAGGTTGTCAGTGACAGGCAGAGGTCATGTGACTTGACAGGCCGAGGTCGTGTTGTGACATGTTGACCTGGAGAGGCGGGTCAAGTCCCAGCACACTACCCGGGAAGCCTTTGGGGCGGGGCAGGGCAAGTCGCGACTTTCATCTTTCGGGCCTGGCCCCTCCCGGACCTGGCATTCCTGGCTCCCGCAACAGACTGTGGCTTTGGAAGGGGCCCCTCCCCGAGGAGGGCTGGGATTGGCCACCAGTGGCCTGGGAAGAGTCGCAGATCCTTCCGCGGAGGGAGGGGGGCCGCGTGGGGTGTTTGTTCTCTTGGGGATTAATGGGGGGTTGTGGGGGAGGGGTAGGCGCGCTCCCGCATGCGCACTGCGGCCCCTCCAGTTGGCTCGTCGCTGTCCGCTGGGCGGG